AATTCTGGTTTTTCCAACTGAATGACTAAGGCTTCAGCAACGCAGTGTGGAGACGAAAGCGTATTGTCTTTGGAAGGTTGTTCTCCACTTTGTAGGTAGACTACTTTGAACGAGGAGGCGTTTGTTGAAACGGAATGACCAGTCGTGACGAGATGTTCAATGATAGCACTCCGTATGCAGCCAATACTACTACCTTCTTGCAGCCATGTGGGAAAGTTTTCTTGAACCCTTTTGGACGGAATACACGTCGAGCGACCAATTTACTTGGTTGGCTTCACATCAACAAGTGAACTGATATACACACACATAGAAGTGGTTAGATGCGACGTCTTGCCCTTTTGGCTTCTGTAAACCACTGGGCGACTGGAGAACACTACTTTTAGGCTACGGAGAAAGTTTCCCTTAAAGAAGCCGAAATTCATCTCTTAAAGAAATCACTGAGTAGGTCACCTTTGAAGTTGAGTTCCGTGTAAATTTTTAAATTCTTTGACACAGTTGATGTCTCTTGTCTTATGATTTTTGGCTTAATGTTCCTGTCACTAAACCTTGCTGGATATCTTTTCAGGAGGAAAATTTCCTTCAAAAAATGTCTAATTCTTCTTTCAGAACATCTGGGCTCCAGATATATCGGACGTCAACAGCAAGAGACGTCATTAGTTTCCGTTTATATCCATTTGGTACCTGGCTATAGAAACTTGTCATCTGACTATGTGTTCCATTTGGGTTTCGTACGGATGGGTCTTCTTAAAGTTCCATCAGCTCTTCTTGCAAGTTCGAAGTAAGGGCTAAAGAGATTTTAGGTTCATTTCTTATTTCAAGAATGAACTTTATTGCTGAATGACAGTTATCTAGTATTTGTATAGATGTATTCTAAAAGTAATCTATATGTATGAACAGCTTTCTGCTATAATCGATAACATACGTAGTCGAATTTACTTCATTACTCATAGTCAGTATGCACCCACTGGGTTTAGAATCCAGGAGTGGCTGTAGGACAAAGTTAACTGCTGTTCTAGTGAGACGTCCTGACCTATGGGTCCTCACTCCACTCGGTTGGGAATGACGACAAATACTCGCCGGTGACATTGGCTAGTGATCTAGATCTATTGAAATGAACTATGTGATTGAACTCGCAATCATTGCAAGGCATTTTGTAGATAAGATTGCCTTGTCTAATCGTATCAGAAGGGTCCATCAACTTGCTGAGCTTTAAAACAAGCAACAAAAGGTGTTGTTAATAAAGCAGGATTTAATGAATTCATCGAATTTCGGTAGAACTCGTCAGCTGAATATCACTCTACAGACACGGATATATATATACTACTGAAATTACATTCGGAGATATATGACTGATAAGTAAACAAACTACATTGAATTAGTCATGCAGAAAGACTGGTGCGAATGTTTTCCAGGTCATGTTCAAATAGATAAGTGGGGGAGGGAGTATGAGAGATTAAAATTAAGATAAAATGCATTACACTTCAATTACATCACTTAGATAAACAATTAGTCATTAGAGAATATATCAAGAATTGCAAACAGAGTAATATCAATAGTAATAGTTATAATAACAATAACGGTAATAAAAGTAGTGCTGAAGTGAGTTAAGATAATCCTACTGATAAAGGATAGTTTTAAATGGATCAATAATAATAATAAGAGGTAGAATAATAAGTAAAACATATTACCATGGTAGATTCAGAGCGACGACCATCTCCTTTTGTACACAGAGTCCTGGTTTTATGATCTGGAAGTGCACAAGCCTCCTCTGCAATTGCAAGTATCTTCCTGTTTCTTTGACCGTCTGCTAACAATAGCAGTGAATGACTTGACAGCGTCGATATCATGTCCGTAGTCCACAAGATGCTTTGTTATTGATCTTTTTGGCACTTTGAATTCATCTGTTTTCAACCACTTTGGCAAATGCTCCATCAGTGCGAGTAGACAATCGCCTTTCTGTACGACCTATGTATTTGCTTCCTTACACAAACACACTCAAATTGATATACTCAGTTTGAAGTATCGAGGATTGCTGAGCTTTGTTTCTGATCGAACTCATAAGTTTGAATTCCATCCCAATAACCAATTTGTTAGGAATCGTAGGAAGACTTCTTTCGTATCTCCCTTCCGTATATATCACAGTGTGGTGTACGCTTTAAACTCTCTCTCTTATTCATGTTATGATCAACGATTTCATCACTGTTGTTTTCTTCCTTATGAAACTTTTTGATCTAGTCAATGAAACCAGTGGGATAGTTTCCACAGGTATGGAAAATATTACGGTTAATAAAACCTACCATTTTGATGTGTTTGTGTTCTCTGAGCCGGATAGTTAATTTGCGAAGCTTTCATCACCCTACTAGGTGACATCTTCAGCACATACTTCAATTTGAAGTGAGCTTTTAGATTTCTCCACGAGTTTATTAATCATCTCTCCTCGTGCAATTGAAAGTCGTGATTGGTTGTTTTCGTGTTTTCACACCCTCTAGGCTACTTGTATTGAAACTGATTGTTTCTTTGACTTGAACTTTGACCCTTTGTGTATGAGGTTTCTTTCTTATCGGTTGATAAATTTTTTATATCTCGATGTGTCTATTGATTGATGATTCACTGGAATACCAGGCAGGCTTCTACAAATTCTCTAGCATTCTTGGTGTTTCCTCTGTCTAAAATTTGAACACTGTCCCAGTCGAAATGATGTCCGTGGTTGTCTGTATGTAGTGATATGAGCGAGGGAGTGGATATCATGTCTTTTGACAGCTAGCTTATGTTCGTGGATACGAAGACGAAGGGGACGTCCACTTTGGCCAATGTAGTGTTTTCCGCAGTTGTTACAATTTATTTTGTAGCTGATGTTGGTTTTATCTTCTTTCGCTGTTGAGTCTTTTGGTTGACATTGAGCCTGAGCTACAAATCTTCTCCATCAAAACCTATCGTGGATGAAGAGTGCACAGATCAACAAAGTATCATGTAGTGGTCCCCCAGTTAAGAACTAATAAAAAAAGAAAGGCGTTAGAGTGGACGAGTTTCTTTGTTAACCTTGAAATCATGATCTATGTGCATGTACTGACATGATATCCTCATTGGAGTGTTTTGATTGGTTTGTTTATGGCTTAATCTTCTGAGGTCACACAGCCAATCAGATTTGTTTGTTTACGGCTTAAATTCCTGTGTGTGTGTGGTTTTTTCCCAAGTCTGACCTTTGTGTCTATCGATCTCAGTGTGGGAGATAAATTTCAAGTAATCATTTGGTTTTAAACATCCCGCTTCTGGAGGTGCATTCCAGTCATGTTGGACGGATCCACAACGCAGTACCATTCCGTGAGAACGAAATCAGAGGAAAAGAAATAGAAGAATAGCATACATGTCAAGTCTATAAGTTATATGAGAACCTTGATATGATGACTTTGCTGAACGAACTGTGCTCGAAGCTTAGTCATGATACTGTACTACTGTAGTAATACTGCAGCACTGTTTAGCTGACCAAATGAAAATGCTCTATTATTGTTAGATTACGAAGTGACTTGAAGTTCTTGACACCTGTTTTGTCCTATTGTGAGACTCTTCATCAGTATGCACGTATGACCTCACTGGTAGTAGTGTTGCGTATATCGCAAAAGGACAGAAACTAGAATCCATGGATCGATGAAACCATTTCTAGTGACTGAATGACCAGTGAGCTAGTTTTCTGATCAAACCGTCCCCAGTTCAATCCAAGTTAAGAGTTGTGTGTCTCCGTTACAGAAAATTCCTTAAACACGATGAAATAGTTGTCCAATTCTTATAGATTTCCACTGACTCTTTAACGCTGATGTTTGTTCGTCACCATTAACTGAAACTAATCAAATCTTTGTAAGTAAATATTTGAAGGTTGTTCAGCTGTCTAAAGATACTATCCCATCTCTAAACCTTCACACAAGATCTTACCGTCAGATGGTGGCATTTAGTGAATAAAAGAAGATATCAAAAGTCTCCGTCAGTCTTTTATGTGAATAGAATCTCTCAAACATCTAAAGATTCTGTTGAAAAACACATTATCACTTATGATACAGCTATCTTCGAATGGAGATTTCAACATGATCTTAAGCGTGCACATGAAACTCCCTTTCTGCGTTGAACAAAAATAAATACTTCACAAAACTAAAATTTGTAATTCAAGTATTGTTTTTGTAGGGATTTGACTGATTGTTTACAGGATTTCATAATAAGCTGATATCGGTTAGAGAACCATTGGAAAACCATCTGGGAGGGAGTACTGGACAGCTGTTCATATCGACCGACTAGTTTGGGGCTCTTCAGCAGTATGCATCAATCGCCAGCATTAGAACCCAGGACCTTCTATGTTACGAAGTGAGCTAGCTCGTAAACCATTAAGCCATTGGGACACGATCCAGTGGCCAGTTCGTGGATTCCAGCTTCTGCTAATTCGCGACATAGCGCGACCACTAGCGAATGTCATCGCTGGCGAGTATTTTTCCACACGCTTGACCTGCTGAACCCTACTAGTTAAATCCGTACAAACCAATACTTGAATATCATTGAGATGCCCACTAGCAACTAACCCTATTCAAGTAGGTAGCCACCTGGGGTTTTGGTGGGAAGTCGTGACCAGTAGGATACAGCAGGTAGGATGTGAGGACAAATACTCGCCAGTGGTGACACTGGTTAGTGGTGGCACTGTGTTGTGAACTGGCAGAAGTTGGAATTCATGGACTGGTTGGGCACTGGATCGTGTCCCAGTGGCTTAATGATCTACGAGTTAGCTCACCTTTAAATCAGAAAATCGTGGGTTTTAACCTTTGGGGTTTGTGCGTACTGCTGAAGAGTTCCAAACTAAGACGAAACGTCTGGATGTCCAGTATTCCCTGTTGGTTTTCCAGTGGTTCTCTAACCACTGTTAGCTCATGATGAAATCCTGTAACTACCATTTTAAATCTTTTATTCACTCACTCATTTATCAAATAAAACTTAAAAACTAAAAATTTGCTACATAAACTTACACTATTATCTGTTATCTTTGAAATATTGGCTATTGAACATTCATCATATAATTGTTTTAATAATGCATAACCTTGAGAGATTAAATTTGAAAAGTTTAATTCTAAACGATCAATATTTCCCTGGATAGTTGAATAATTCGATGATAAATTATCCGCAAATTGATTCGCTGACTGGATAATACCAAATTTATAACAAATTCTTCTTAAACTAATCATTAATTCAGGTGTAGTCAGTATTAAATCTTGTGAAGCGGTAGTAGTATAAAACTTCTCATGTTTTAAATAATCTGAAATTAGTAAACATTGTAGATTTTTAAACTGTTTGCATAAATAATCCATGCTTTCAAGTAGGATTGGTTTTAAGCTGCTGTTATTGTTGTTTTAAGAGAACTCCCCTGTTTTTATTTTTTTTACTTGCCTTTCTTGTTTGTTTAGTTTTTGAAAAGTTGTGATAAGACTGATTAAAACAGAAGTTTTTGTTTTGTTAGTTCTTTAGTTCTTTATTCTAAAAAAGAACGAGAAAATGGTGTGTACTTTATTACTTCACTTTTATACAGTTGCGAATTTTGGTTCTATTAAAAGTGCTGCCGTATAATAAGTACAAAGTTACTACTGATAACTGAGGTAGTAGTAGTAGTACACTGATTTATGATTGGCTAAAAATTAACCAATCAGATGTTGACATGCTTATAGTAGTCGTCCAATCATAATTTAGCCTTATAAATATGCAAACTAGCGATTTTACGAATTTCATGGAGTAATTTGAGCGCCTAGTGACATTGAATCATTATAATATTATTTAAAATAATCCTACAGTGTGTTTGGAGAAAGTCATAACAAGGTTTTTTCTGTTTTCATCTTCTCCACTAATATCCATTACATTTCTTGTAAATTTCTCAATATTTTTCATTGTTAGAATCAATATTGTATCGAAGCGGTTTCAGTATTGTTGATATGTATTTTGAAAAACTAAGTCTTATTGAATTCGTTAAATTAACGAATGGTCTTAAAGGAATACCGGCTTTGTGAAGTTTACATCTTTAATAAACTCTGGCGGCCGAGTTTATTTTAGGAGAACCAAATTGGAAAACCCAGATTTGGTTTCAGTTCACTCCGTCAGTTTCATCGGTTTTGAAAAGGCCTTTGACAGCCAGCGTTGAATGCGAAGTAATTTGGAAACTACTTTAGCACTATGGAGTACAGTGCCCTAAATCAATATCAACCTCATTCAACAGCTGGCTGTATGGCAATGTCACGTGTCAGGTGATCCACAAGGGGGAAATCAGCGAGGCGTTCTGAGTGCATACAGGAGTAAGACAAGGCTGCTGCCTATTGCAACCGATGATATTCCTAGTAGTAGTGAACTCGATAATGTGGAGGATAGTGCACAGGGACCACTGATAAGAAGACTCTAGAAGATCTGGATTTCGCAGATGATTTTTGCCTATTGTCACACAAACTCGAAGATTTGCAGGAGAAAACCAACAAACTGGCTGAAGAAGCAGGTAGCGAAGACATATGTGATGAAGATAACCAACTAACCGACTGCAACGACAACAACAACCGGCACCAATCATCAACAACGAGAGAGATTTGAAAAAGGTTACCTCCTTCCTTCACTGATCCGGCTAGGAAGCATGGTTTGAAACACAGGCACACGGCACGGATGAAAATGTCAAAGCCAGCCAGCCAGCCAGAATCGGAAAGACAAGATACGCCTTCATCAACCTGAAACCAGTTTGGAAATCTTCTGTACTCAGTATAAGGAACAATATTCCCATTTTCAATACCAATGTCAACTCGGTCCTTCTATACGAGTCAGAAACTTGCACTGCATGTGACGAAAAGGATTTCCAATAGGTTTTAGACTTTGATCAACAGCTGCCTTTGCCAGGTCCATACTGAAGATCAAATGACCAGAAAGAATTAGTAACAAGAAACTCTGAAAACACACCAACTAATAGCCAATTGCTCAACAAATATATAGGAGAAAACGGAGATGGATGGAGTGGGCATACATTGGGGAGACCATCGAATGATATCGTGAGCAATGTAGACCATCACTCTAGTGGAATCCAAATGGGAAGCGACAAGTGGGTCGTCAGTGCGAGGGCGATATGGAGGAGACCGTGTGAGGAGGAGATGAGAGATTATGGGTAACCGTGGACCCAGCTAAAGGGAATGGCAACAAATAGAACAAAGTGGAGATGTATTGTTGAAGTCAGCCCTATGTTCCACTCGGAACCCAAGGGAACAAAAATATTAAACATGTATTCTTGTATTAACTTTCAGTTTTCACGCTTTCATGCCTTAACTATTTTATTTATTTATTTTTTTGTAAAGGAGATAGGTTACTGTTACAGTATATATGAAGGCTGAAAATTCCATTCTGTATAAAAATTACTATTTAGAATAAAATGATAATTATTTCTGAGATTATGTTAACTATTTATGTAATGAAAACTTGATTTTGGTGAGGAACTAGTGTCAGACAGTCAAATAAACAGTCTTGATCGTGTCTAGGTCATTAGACAAAACCTTCTTCTCAGCTGAACTTTCATCCACTCTCTCTATAAAACCAATGATCTGCATGGACGTGAAGGATAGGCTACCATTGCTATCCAGCCCCATGAATGTGCATTTATCAACTCACCTGTTCCTGCGTAGCTAGATATATCAACCGTACTCTGCATTTAGCTATCTATATGTGTCATCGAACACCTCACAGCTGTATTCTAGAATACCTGATCGAATCTGGACATCAAGTGAACCCATAAACTAATTTCAAAGTTATCTAGAGAATACATGGAAATCTTCGGGTATGAATCAAACTCCTTCAAACACAGACGAAGCAGTGGTAATCCACATGTTAAATCCTGCATACAGAGGGTGTTTGCTCAATCCCTAAATCTACAAAGGACCTGATCTGTCTTAACATCGGATATGTAATATTTTTCTCCCCACCCCTTATAATACTTCTACTCCTTATCATTAATGTTGTTAATTTGAATCGCTTTGAATTTTGTTGAGTTCTACTCGATTCCGTCAGTTACATTACATTACTCTATTTATTTATTTTATTTTATTTTAGTTTCTACCCAATTAACGTTTTGCATTTGATGATAATAGATAGTTGGAGGCAATCGGCCACAGGAAGCCTTGCCTGACCTAGGTTTCGTGCTAGTTGGTACTAATCAGCAAGGCGTGTCTGCAACCTTGAAGGAGCTCATGTCACTTCTGAGATTCGAACCCGCGTCACTCAGTGCTGCAGTCAATGTGCAACGTGATGGCGAGCTACCTAGAATGGTGGCCACATTGCAAACCTGACTGACTGATAGAATTCAGTCTGCACCAAAGAAAGGACTAGACAAGTCACACTCGTTACTAGGGTCCAATCAAAATAATGTTTTATATATTATGTATTTTTTTGTCTGGAGTTTACAATTCTATTGAAAGGTATTTCTTTGTTTCTTTGCAGTATAAGATGACTCGATTTTAAAATCCTAGCGGATGTTTTTTTAATGTGGTCGTGTTCTTTGAACAGGTTTTATTCACCTTCTAGGTAAGATCTTCATTTCTAACTTGAAAGTGAAGTAAGATATTGGAACATTCTATGGCACCAACTAGGATCAATTGTCTATGGAGATCTTGTTCTTATTGGTGTTCACTTATAGGTAAAGTTAGGGACAGCTGACTCTTTGACCTTGAAGAGACCAGTCAAATGACACCGGGTTAATTTGGTGGAAAATGAAATAAAATCGTGGAAAGAATAATAATAATAGCAATAATCTACTTTATTCCAAGACAAACAGTACTTATAATACAGAATGGAATTCTCAGCACTTGTCACAATATTGCATCTGATTTACTCAAAGTATAAATAAAATTAAAAATTAAAAAAAAATTAACCAGAGGAATTTTTCCACATTTACCGTATAAAGTCAAAAATATTCGAAGTACGAATTGAGATTATTAAATATAATAATAATAACAGTGAGTTTGTTTCAAACGGTATTATTGATTCAGTTTGGAAACTTTAGCATGTTATAAATTATTGGATCTAATGTTCTGTTGTTATAGTATAGTGAGGGGAAATACAAAATCAACAGTTATAACACAGCTTAAATGATGTTCACACTTTTCAGAAAATAAACAAATAAAAACAAAAAATTGCGGGGATTATACATATAAGAAGTACAATAACAATAAAGCTTGATGTTATAAGGGTGGAGATAACGATTTATTTACCAGTGAAAAGAAGGTTAGTTAGTTAGTTCGTGCCTGACACTACTTTCATCACATAAAGGACGTGCCAAATATGGCATAGTGGAATTTTCATACTTAGATGTATGTGCATAAAGCCTTCTGAAAAGACTTCTTGTTTTACCTGAGGAGACACGAGGCTGGAGCTGTGGGTAGAGTGGGTGCTCACAGTCTGACAAAATTCCTTAAGTGAATTTGTTGCATGACATCAAATGCCTATTCGTGACAATGTCAACGATATGGCCCAATGGGATACCACTCAGCCTACTGACATTCTTCAGAGCTCTACGAAGTGTGACATAGTCTTTTCTAAGCAATCCAGGAAAGAATAAGGGTGAACAGTAAAGAAGAATAGGTAAAATACACGAGTTAACAAACTGTAAGAGAAGGAGGAGTGGTTGAGTTATGCCTGATTGCCTTAACTTCTTAATGTAAAACGTCGGACGAAATATTCTTTTAGAAATCGCTAAGGCATAGGAAGACCAGGATAGCTCATAAGAAAAAATTAATCCAAGATACTTAACTTCAGACTTGATTTCTATATCACTACCATCAATTTTGCAACGGTCATAGGATCCAATAGCTTCATTTAACTTTCCTTTACATCGGAAACTGAAATTAACAGTCTGACATTTGGAAGGATTTAGTTTAAGGCCATTAGATGAAGACCGTTTGCTAACTCCTGATAGAAAGGTGTTTATCTTAGTACATTCTAGCTGGAAGTTAACAGACACTAAAATAGTTTGGAAAAGTGTAAGAATATTAAAGAGTACTCCTAATTTAAAATTTCTCAAGAATAAGCACTCTCATCTTAATTTCCCATGGGAGCAGTGGTATGCATCCACATGACTACATTTCAGAACCCATATATATATATATATATATATAGTTTTTTAACTCATGGAAAATTCCCATTGTAACATATAGAAAATCAAAACAAGTGGTGATTCAGCAAAGAGACTCTTTTCAACAACGAATTTATTATCAAGTTGTACAATCGTATATGTATATGGTTTTTAAGAAGTTATATCCGGTGAGGGAATTGAATCATAGGTGTGAATGCATAAAATAATAATGATATCAAATGCAGTT